GATGGACGGTTTCTTTTCACAAAGATGGCCTCCTTTACTCCTCTCTCAAACCATCGTTCCTCTCTGTCCAGGATGTGAACATCTTCATCCCTGAAAGAGTGACCTCTGGCCTGGAGATGAGTGTAGACCGCAGAGTCCTGGCCTGATGATGTTGATCTTCTGTGCTGGTCCATCCTTTTGGCCAGTGGCTGTTTTGTTTCCCCGATGTAAGACTGATCACCCTCCTGACACTGAACAGCATACACAACATTACTCTGTTTGTGCCGGGGGACTGGATCTGCAGTCTACACTCATCTCCAGGCCAGCGGTCACTCTTTCAGGGATGAAGATGTTCACATCCTGGACAGAGAGGAACGATGGTTTGAGAGAGGAGTAAAGGAGGCCATCTTTGTGAAAAGAAACCGTCCATCATTAAACAGGGGTGGAGCCTCCAGGTTCAACTGTCCCCCTCTTACAATGCTGTGATTGCTAGTATCACTCAACCCTCTGTGAACAGTAAACAGCCATCAGGTGCTAATGATCCATTGTTAGGCTGATGGTCCTTCTTGAGCATGTGATCAGCTAGTTTTGGTTGTCAGCATTAAAACTGGTTGATCCACTCTGAGACGGTGCTATTTAAGAGACTGAGCTGAATACAGCTCCTCAGACTGAGGAAGTCTCTCGGATGAGAGACGAAACGTTTCTACATTTTTTTGTTGATTTGCTTTGTTTTGTTTTTTTGAATGTCCAGAGGACCAGATTTAACTTTTTTAAACTTTCTGATAGAAGTTTCAGTGTGATGACAGATAATTTTACCTCTGCTTCTGCTGCCCTCCCCTGGGGGGTATCCCAGGGCTCTATTCTTGGTCCTCTCCTGTTTTCACTTTATCTTCTGCCACTGGGTTCAATTTTCAGAAAACATGGTGTGCAATTTCATTTATATGCAGATGACTGTCAAGTCTACTTCCCTTCGAAATATAATGGCTCCACTCAGTCTCTCTTGGACTGTCTTGATGACATTAGAGGATGGTTGACACTTAATTTCCTCCATTTTAACGAAAAAAGACTGCAGTTATGGTCTTGAAATCCTGTGGTCCTGGCAGTTTCCCCATCTTTGATTTTTCCTCTTTGGCGCAATATGAAAAATCCATTGTGACAAATTTATGGGTGAAAATGGATCCCTGCCTGAAACTTGACTGCCATGTCAACAACATGGTTAAGTCCTCTTACTTTCAGCTGAGGCGCCTGTCAAAAATCAAGCCCCTCCTTTCTAGACACCACTTAATGACTAGTGGTTCTACACTTAATGCTCCTTAACCTCCTTCCTGAGGGGAGCGGGGCAAAAAGTGTGTGTGCTGGGTGAGTGTGGTCCTTCATGATGCAGGTGGCCCTCTTCCTGCATCTGGAGGTGTAGATGTCTGTGATGGTGTGGAGACTGACTCCAACATCTTCTGTGCAGCCTTCACCACTCTCTGCAAAGCTTTTCTTTCTGCAGCTGTGCAGCCTCCATGCCACACGTTGATGCTGGAGCACAGGATGCTCTCCACTGCACACCTGTCGAAGGAGGTGAGGACTGAGCTTCCCAGACCAGCTCGCCTCAGCCGCCTGAGGAAGTTGAGTCTCTGATGAGCTTTCTTCATCAGGCTGGTGGTGTTGTTGCTCCAGCTGAGGTTGTCACTCAGGTGCACACCAAGTACTTGTAGCTGGAGACCACTTCCACCACAGATCCTCTTATGTTCAGGGCGGTGGGTGTGTTTGTTCCTTCTGAAGTCCACAACCATCTCCTTCATCTTCTTCACATTGATGTGAAGGTTGTTCTTCATGCACCAGCTCTCCAGGTGTTCCACCTCCTGCCTGTAGCTGGACTCATCATTGTTTGTGATGCATCCCACCACCACTGTATCATCTGCAAACTTTACAATGTGACAGCCTGGATGGGTTGCTGCACAATCATGCGTGAGCAGAGTAAATGAGAGGAGGCTCAACACACAGCCCTGAGGAGAGCCAGTGCTGAGGGTTATGGTGGAGAAGGAGAAGTTGTGGATCCTCATTGACTCTGGTCTGTTTGTTAAGAAGTCCAGAACCCAGTTGCAAATGGAGGGGCTTAGTCCTAGTGTGAGTAGTTTGTCCATAAAGGTCTAGGGTATCATGATATTGAAGGCAGACGTGAAGTCCACAAAGAGCATACAGACGTAGGAGTCCTTCTGCTCCAGGTGGGTGAGAGCAGTGTGGACCACAGAGGAGATGGCGTCCTCTGTTGATCGGTTCTCATGGTATGTGAACTGGTGAGGGTCCTGGTTGATGTTGATAGTTTTTTTGATGTGGGTCATGACCAGTTTTTTGAAGAATTTATTGACTATTGGGGTGAGGGCCACTAGCCAATAGTCATTCAGACCAGTCACTGTAGAGTTTTTTGAGACTGGGATGATGGTGGCAGTCTTCAGGCAGGTGGGAACTGTCTCCAGGGTAAGTGAGGTGTTAAAGATGTCTGCCAGAACATCGCAGAGCTGATCAGCACATTCTTTCAGCGCCTTCCCAGGGATATTTTCTGGGCCAGTTGCTTTCTGAGGATTAATCCTCCTGAAGGTCCTCCTCACTTTGGCTGAGGTCACGCTGAGAAGCTCTTCATCATGTGGTGAGGTGAGTCTGGTGCTGGGTGGTCTGTTCAAGTCTTCAAAGCATGCGTAGAACTTGTTGAGGGCATCAGACAGTGATGGGTCTCCAGGGCATTGTTCACTCCTGCCTTTATAATCTGTTATACACTTAATGCCCCTCCACATGCTCTGAGGGTCTTGTGAGGTGAATTAACCCTGGATCCTCTGTACATATGTGGCCTTGGCCGTCTTAATACCAGCAACCAGCTCTTTCCTTGTCCTTCTCAGTTCCTGTGAGTTTCCAGACCTGAAGGCAGTGTTCCTGGCTTCCAGCAGGGTGTGAACCTCTGCATTCAGCCAAGGCTTCTTGTTGGGTAACTCCTAACATATCTCATGGTGGTGACATCATCAGCACATTTACTAAAGTACCCCAGGACTTAGGATGTGTATTGCTCCAGTTCTAGCGCCCCCTCATTTTCAGCAGCTTCTCTGAAGACCTGCCAGTCTGTGCATTCAAAACTGTATTTCAGTATGGGGCCACTATTCTGGATCCAACTTTTAACTTTCTTTTGTACTGGTCTGGATCTTCTCAATGGGGGGAGGTAAGCAGGAGCTAGGAAGATTGAGATGTGATCAGAGAATCATAGGTGGGGGTGGGGTTTGGCTTTATACATTTGTGTAAACACACAAACATAAAAGAAGAAAAATGTGAATAATAAAATAAGAATAGCATAAAAATAACATAAAATAATAGTAACATCACACCTCCAGATGCAGGAAGAGGGACACCTGCATCATGAAGGACCCCACTCACCCAGCACACATACTTTTTGCCCCACTCCACTCAGGAAGGAGGTTAAGGAGCATTAAATGTAGACTAGATACCACTAGACTGAGGAACAGCTTCTACCCTGAAGCTGTTAGGCTCATAAATCTCTAACACAGGACTGTGTGTGTGAGGGTGTGTGTGTGTGTGTGGGGGGGGGGGGTGACCAATGTAATCCCACTTTATTGTTGATATGTGCTCCTGACTATCAGTGCTGCTGATCTCATGCTGCTGATTTATTTCATGTTGCTGTGTTCATTCGTCCTCATCTGCTCACACAGACTCATGTTCGTGCTGCTGTTGATTGGCACATTGTTTTGTACCATTAGTGCTTAGCGTATTCTTCATTTAGCATATTTCTTAGTTTATAGTTTAGATCTTTTTACTGTTTTTCTTTACGTTTACTTTTGTTGAATGTAACTGGGACCCGGTGTACACAGTTTAGTTCCACTTCATGTACCACATGTGGTGCGAACGACAGTAAAGAACCTTGACTTGACACCGTCAGACGAATCAAACAGGTGGCAGATTTAACGGCACATGAATTTCAGTTGTATTTGTCAGTAGACGTATGTAAATATGTGGAAAAACTGCACTGAAGTGACCTCGCTGCACTAAAACTAGTCCAGTGCTTTTATAGTTTTACTGCAATGGGCCTGAATTGTCATATGGGGATGGGGGGAGGTGGAGTAATGTGTGTTCACACTTGTCCAATTTAAACTGTGTTTTTGGCAAGCTGCTGTTGCCATAACGACTCAGCAGGTTGCCTTCCTTAGTCATCAGGCTTGGAGCAGTGCATTGTTTATGAGAGTGTTTTATCCGCCACAGAAAAACAACTAATGTTTACATGGTAGATGAAGACATATGGGCAGGACACTGGGTAAACCTTACAGTGGCAAATCTTACGGTCCCATAATCCATCCATCCATTATCTTGACCCGCTTATTCCATTTTGGGTCACGGGGGTCGCCGGTGCCCATGTCCAGCCATCACTGTGTGTGGGGCGGGGGACACCCTGGACAGGTCGCAAGTCCATCACAGGGACACATGGAGACAAACGAGACAAACAACCATTCACTCTCTCTCTCACCTAGGGACAATTTAGAGTTACCAATCAGCCTAACATGCATGTTTTTGGTCTGTGGGAGGAAACTGGAGTACCTGGAGAAAAACCCACGCATGCACGGAGAGAACATGCAAACTCCACCCAGAAAGGCCCCTGGACCGGGGTTTGAACCAGGGACCTGCTCGCTGAGAGGCAGCAGCTCTACCAGTTGCACCACCGTGCTGCCCCGGTCCCATAATGTCCCAGTTATTTTCAAGAAGTCTTGAGGCCAGAGGTATTTCTTGGGTGATTCAGATTCAGAGATTCTTTATTGTCGTTCCACCACATGTGGTACATGTGGTGGAATGAGATTATGTTCACAGGGTCCCAGTTACATCCAACAATAAAATGAAAAAGAAAAACAGTAATAACATCTAAGATATGAACGAAGAGAAACATCAAATAAAGATACACTAAGCACTAATAGCATAAAAATATTACGTCAAACAGCAGCACGAACATGAGTCTGTGTGAGCAGATGAGCACGAATGAACACAGCAACATGAAACAGATCAGCAGCAACATGAAACACATCAGCAGCAACATGAAACAGATCAGCAGCAGCATGAAACAGATCAGCAGCAGCATGA